GAGTACACAGCGAATTCAAGGCCAGCCTGGAATACATAGCGAGACTCCGTTTCAAGAAACAAAACAAGAGTAAGGTTGATCAAAGAGTAGAAACTGTGCTGTGTGTGTAGGGAGGGGACAGCAGGTTTCTAGTAGACAGAAAACATGTGTTAAGCCCGTAAGTTGAGCAGCTAGACTCAGCTGCATGGGGACCTATTCTTCATTTCTGAACAGATCTGAAGAATATGATCTATTCCTCATATTCTCCTCCATTATACAGCATAGCACCTGACAGTGAGGACTTTGATGTTCTTATGGAATGAATGAATATTAATTCCCATTTTCAGTTATGGATACTATCAACTCATTTGCATAGGCAGACTCAAATTAAGTCAAATGAAGTTATCTTCAATATAACAGGTTTTTTTTTTTTTCCCCTCATGTAACAGCTCTAAATGGGACACTTAGAATGAGCAGGTGGGGATCTCTTCCACGTAGGAATCTTCAATCTTGAGAACATGTCTTCTCCAAAATCTGACCACCGTTGGCTTCCAGCTGACACAGAGCAAGCACAGGGCAGCACCTATGGAAAGCTTTTATGGGCTAGGCCTGGACAGCACGCACAGGTCACACTTTACTGTAAGGGCTGAGGAATGTGGTGTAGGTATATGTAGAACAAAAGAGAGAACAATAATTTTGGTGGGTAACTAAGTCTCCACAATATTCAGTTATGTATTTGGCTCATTGTCTGGTATGGCACAAGAACCTCAGACTCACTAAATAGTAAAGAGCTCTGGACTCGTCACTCTCACCCTCATCAAGTCTTTCATTCACCGAATGGCAGCAGCATTATTCATCCAGTTGTTTAAGCCAAAGACAGAGAAGTTATCCGTATTTTTTATCCTACTCTTCCTCATCTAATACTTAAGGAAATCCTGTTGATTCTATCCCCAAAATATATCTTCTTGCTTTTGTATCTGTTTTTTGAGACAGTGTTTTACTGTGTAGTTCAGGCTGGCCTTGAACTTGTGGCAGTCCTCCTCCCTTGGCCTCCTAAATGCACCACACCGGGCCCCCAAATATATCTTTTTTTTTTTTTCCCCTCTGGTACCGGGAACCGAACTCACAACCTTGCGCTTGCCAGGCAGGCGCTTTGTCGCTGAGCTAAATCCCCAGCCCCCCCAAATATATCTTAAATCTGTCTTTTTTTTCCATCTTTACTGTCAGCTCCTTAGTTCAAGCATCAAAATAATGTGCCATCTGAATTATTCCAACAGCCTCCTACCAGCATTCCATTTTCTATATAGCACGCACATTTTAAAATGTAAATTTGATTAATTTCCAGTTTAAAATATTCCAGTGGTTTAGAATAAAGTCCAAAGTCCTTACTATGATACTTGAAGCCATGTATGATGCAGCCCTTGCCCATTAATCCTTTCTCACAGCACTCTAGCTACAACGCTCTTTTTTTGTTGTTTTTTTGAGACAGGGTCTCACTATGTAGTTTAGGCTGTGTTCTTGTGAAATCAGTTAGGGCCTAGACACATCTGGACATAGATTCCTTAATAAAGTACTAAACTTGTTTATTAGGAAAATCTTTTAGAATCCACTCAGGGACTGTTTGAAACTGGCTTTTCAAAAATGGATATACACAGACGAAGCCAGCTTATCCAGCCAATGATCTATTGACACCACAAGCTCAAAAATCCCCCAGGTAGAACATGCCAAACTACCCCCCAAAAAGAAACATGCTGCCTGTAACGAGGCATGATGATCTGTGTCTAAGCTAAAGAACCCTAAGACGACTCCTTCTCTTGTCACTAAGCAGGTTGCCCTCTCTCCTCTCCTATAGGTTCTCCTGCTACCAAATGATCAGAAAAGCAGATCTGAGCTTACAGCTCCTGGCCTCTTTGCTGGCTGACCAAACATTAAAGCCTTTTCTTTTTGTTAAAACCCAGCGCTACTGTATTGGCTTTCATAGCCATCAAGCAGTGAGTACTTGTTTAGCATCATGTGATGCTCCTGAAACATATTTCACTTCCCCAAGACTTCTGCACTTGCTGTTCTATTTACTCTGCCACATTTTTTCCTTCAGTTGGCTGGCTTTCCCGTAGTCATCTCCTTTTTCCCCAGGGGTATCAACTTAAATGATACCCCTTCCCTAATCATCTAGTATGAAATAGCTCCTGCATCCAGTTATTCTTACATCACTGCCCTGCTCATTGACTTTTTCACATCACACTGTTTTTCCCTGTGTACTAGCTGCCTCCTTCTCCTTAAGATCCACAAGCAGGTACTGTGTCTTGACTCCTGTTTCCTCAGTGTCGAGCAGGCCTAGTGTACACTGGTGCTCAGTGGATAAGTGATGAAGAACCACCATGAGGTGATGACCTGGTGTGCGCCCCTAATCCCAGGACTTGGCAGACGGAGGCAAGAGGGCTCCAAGTTTAAGGCCCGCCTGGTGACATAGCAAGACCTTGTCTTAAAACCAAAACCAAAACAACAACAACAACAAAAAACCCCAAACAGGTGGGGGTGGGGTAGCCAAAGCTCCTGAAAAATTCTTTGAAAGGTTCTTGGTATAAAGAGCACAGACCTGGGTTCCAATTCTATCTTGATCAGTTTTTGGCTATGTGCAAATGGGTTCAGCCTGTCTGCAGGTGCCCAATGGGAAACTGAAGGCAGGATAAAGCATGCCATCTCTGCCTTCACTCACACATCTCTTTCAGCTTGTGTTATAAAAATTTCATGTACCTTGATCAAAGTGTGGACCCGTGAATCTCTGATACGCTAAATATGAACCTTAAACCTTTGGCTCAGATCCCTGCTCAGCTCTGAACACAAGCATGTTAATCACTTAAGGAGCAGCTATTAGCCCTAAATTTACATAACCCGTCTCATCTCCCCTCAAGACTGAGTGTTCCCGGCCACTTAGGTTCATATGCTTACGTTTATTTGCTTGGTGCTGACCAAATCAAAGCAGGCCAGCTATTTTGGTAAAGAGGAAAAAGGATTTACTCAAAGCTAGCTCCAAGGAGATGGAGGGGTCCTTTTGTCTCAAATCACCACCTTCCCATGAACAGGTGGATAAGGGTCCTTACAGTAGGGAGCAGGGAGGAGGCGGAGCACAGACAGTTCACATCTCCATGCCTGCTTTATCATTCCGGCCATCTCCAGCTGGCTGACCTCTTCCCTGTGGAAGGGAAACTGGGCGCCTGCCTCTTGGGGCTGGCATCTATATATTCCGTCATTTTAGCTGGGTTGAGGAAAGGAATGGGTGTTGGTTTTGCGTTCAGCAGAAGGAACTTTGGAAAAATTGCTTATTTCTACAAGAAAAAAAAATTTAACTTTTGAGACTCCATTTTGCAGTGCCAGTTACATGAGGATACTAAAATAAGCAACACTGGAAGAGACATTCACTTGCTAGTATTTTGTTTTGTTTTTTTGAGACGGTGTCTTCCTGTGTAGTTCAGACTGGGTCTTGAACGCAATATGAAGACTAGGCTGGCCTTGAACTCATGGTGATCCTCCTGCCTCAGCCTCCCAAGTGCCGAGGTTATAGGCGTGCGCCACCGCACTGGACCACAGCCCACTTCACTTGCCACTCTTCATATCATCCTCATTCAGCCTCCCTGGAGTGGAACCTTATTAAGGCTCCCGTTATTGTCCTAAATCTGCAGTCACCCCCGTTTCCAGGAGAGGCAGTCTTGAGGACCTCCTCATGGTGAGGTCACTCACCACCCCCAGCAGGAAAAAAACAAGCATCTCAGGGGAACAGATCGCTACCTCAAGACATAAAGATTTCTGGTCATCTTCACAGAACCAGCTCGAGATGAGACAGCGGCTTGACCAAGATTACCTACCCCGACAGCTTTGCAGACTTCTTGCCCTTGTCTTTGTTCTCCTTACCTATAAAACCCCCAAGTTTCTGTCTGCACCTCCAAGACGGATCATGAACCTTTCCATCTGTCCTTCCCAGCATTGGCGTCGCTGATTAAAGCTCCTTTTCTGCCCAACAGTCCTGCGCATCTCCTTGGCTGGTGTTTTGGGACGGGTGGCCGGGTATAGTCTGTTGGGACCCCGGAGGCCAGTATTTCGTCCTAGAAGGCCGGTAACAAGCCCTCTAAGCCTCAGTCACCAAATCCATAAACGAGTGATAAGAACATACTCCACAGCGCAAAAAGCCTATCTCGTAGAGCTTCACGAAACACAACTCCGTTCCCCTACGGCAGCACCCTTCCGGACCTCAGTTCCCTCTTCTGTATCACCCACGGCCTCCACGAGTCCTCTCCGCGGAGGGTTCCTGGAGATATAGATCACCGCAACGCCGACACGACAGAAGAGGTGCCAACGCAGGCGCAGTCACGCGCGTCCTGCGGCGACCTCCGACGGCCCTGCCTAATCCGGCCGCCTCCTACGTCATTAGCGCAGCGCCCGCGTCGCCGAAGGCCCGGGGGCCTGCGTGGCCTGGGGGCGGTCTCGGGGAGGCCTAGGCGGGCGCCTGCAGATCCGTGGCGCGGCTCGGGGGCGGCGCGGAAGCACTGGCGGGTTGCGGCGAGGGGCGTGGGGAGCGGTGGAGTAGCGGAACGGGGCGGCTGGAGCGGCAGCTCGGAGCTCCAGCCGGGTACAGCGCGGGCGGGTGGCCGGCGGGGCTGCCCGGCGCGGGTGTCCCGGCGATGTGTGGCG